TTGTCAGCGTGTCAAGACGCTCTTCGCCCTTTCTACCCATAGGTGTAGAGCATTCTCATCTCCCTTGAAATGCGGCAATCTAGACCAGAGACATTTCTTCTAATCGATCGAGCCATCACTATTGCAACAGCGTATACTAGGTACTAAACTATGAGTACAGGCCCTCGCAGCTTGTTCATCTATACCAAACACAGTGTGCGCATCTCCCAGCCGCCTTCTCGCTTGATACGATTGAGCCAGGCGAGAGTATTTTCCCTATGCGAAACTCTCTTACGAGAGCATCGAAGCACACCGATTCGGCGCCATGTCGAATCGTCGACCTTCTCTACTACCAGTAATACTGCATCATCCCATTTTTCATCATCGATGTCACTCCATGACGGGTTGCTTCCAACGTATATCGCGGCCAGGCCGTTACTCGGTGGAGCCTCTGAATGATCTAACATGATGTCGTCTCTCATCTTGAAACCCCACGCCAAAGCCCAGGCGTCGAACACATTGCGATTTTGAATTGGTTTTGCGTTACATGAGACTACCCAGCTCCTGATAGATATATTTGGCACAAGCAATCTATCATCTTCTTGGGCCCACGCTCTGATGTAGTGGTCTAAATCTAAGCTCCTTCCGCTTTCATCGTTGATCCAAACTTGCAAACTTTCTTCGCAGGAAAAGTTCACTAGTGGACGTTTCCAGGTGATACTGCCATGGTTGGCTGGATCGTAACAGGCTTTGCAGCTAGCCCAGCTCCATGATGGGAAGAGAGTATCTGTGGCACCACTATGCCTTATATCATGATACAGCGACATAGACCAGATTAGACTATACGCGAAGGTTGAAATCGGTGTGAAGACTGTAGGGCTGCACTTCTTCTCCGATGGCAAGCAGAAAGTAGGCGACGTCTGGCTATAGAATGTCGGCAATCCAAATATCTGAGTGGCACGTATTTGGTCAGTACCTTGTCCCAATTCGAAGGCATTTATGATGCCAGTGACAGCTTTGATGTTGTCCTCGTGGAACGACAGGCGCCTGTAATAGTATTCCTCAATCTGCCGATAGAGTGTTTGTACTGTGGAACCCATATCCAGATTGGGAAACGCTTTGAGGTCACGGTGACCTATCCCTGCAACCCGAGGAGGATCAGGGCTGGGTGAATCCGTATGCCGTGAAGGCAAATTCTCCAAGCCATGCATTTTGTTGCATTGGAAGTACATTTGTGATCTTGTGAAGATTAACCGACGTCTGGACAGTACCAGCTCTTGAAACGTCCATCCACGAGTATTCCAGACCGAGTCTTTTATGTCGTATTTGGGTATCTCAAGGCCGAGAATCCGTTGACCTGATATCCCTACTGCATGGCTGTACTGCTGACGTCGAGGTGTTCCATTGATACCAGGAAGACCACTATGCGGACTGTCCCCTGCTGCAGCGATAATTGTGAGCGTTGCTCCTCGATAAACAGCGCCCATATTCGTGATAAGGCGATGCTTTTCGGCATCATTTTGTTGATCGATGCAATATCGATCAATCCATATGTATGAATACCCTAGTTGTAGCGTGACCCAGATTGAATCCTCTATGGTTTTGGGTAAGCACCCTGAGAGGGCCGAAGAGATCTCATGAGCGACAGGGTCGTTGCCCCAGACATAGCTCAAGCAGATATATGGTGTTCCAGGAGCAATTTCGCATAGCTTTCGTGAAGCACAATTGATTACCTTCAATGGGAAACCAGAAGAACTGTCTTGACCACAATCTTCCTCGTGCGATTGCAGGCATCTGAATATCCAGCTCTTCGCAAGCATAATGTCACGCAAATATGCTGGCACGGATCGTAGGATACTGCTCTGAGCAAAATATGTGCTCCTTGCCGAAGTTCTGATCGCGAAGCATGGGACTCTCGTTCCTCGGGACTCCAAAGATGACCAATAGCTGGTTATATGTTTCTTCAAAAAATCTCTGTCATCGCCTGCGTCAGCTCCAGAACCGCTAGAGACCCCGAGGTAAGCCATCAAACTGTCGCATAGAGCACATCCCTTTCGAACCTCATCCCAAGTGCCATCAAACAACAATTCACTACCTCCAGATCGCATATCGCGGAGTGATGCTCCAGGTTGGAAGAAGTATGACGTGGGGATGCCTTGGCATTCCCAACAAATGCCTGTGTCCCGAGGAGGCGAGTAAGGAATAGAGTCAACCATGACGAGCAAGATGTGATAGAAGCTTGAGGATGATCTTAGGGATCTGCGATTTTAGAATACTGGCGCAGTGGCTAAAAAGCTGTATGTTTTATCATTTAGGCTGCTGTACTGAGGCTGAGCAAAATGCGCTAGCACGGGCTGTGCAGACTTGCATATGCAGCATGGCTGCAAGGCTGGAAGGTACCATGGGGGCCTAATGTTAGCAGGATTAAACACCTATCCGCCAACAGCAAGGACGTCTTGTCTCATTCATCAGAAGGTTTTGCATGTTTCGAATCCTACTTATGTCATCACTCGACTTGGCGCCTTCCCTGTCTGGCCTTTCGTGCTAGTCGATACCTTGGTGCACTCCTCCACCAAAACATCCAACCAGCTCGCTTTAATACCCTGTCATCTACGCCCCTAAACTATCAGACTCTCAACTACACCCGTAATGGCTGATCCAATTGCTCCAGCCTGCTTGTCCAGCCTCCCAGTGGAAATACAAACCAGCATTTTCGCCTTCGTACGCGAGAGGACCACCCAGGCAGCCATATGTCTGACCAATCGCCAATGCCGAGACATCATGGCGCCTATCTTCTTCGAGAACTTCAAACTTCAAAAACGCAAAATCACCATGAAGACGATAGGCACACTCCTAAATCCTAAAAACGGTATTACACCTCACGTTCGCAACCTTTTCATCGTCAATGGATGTTGGGAAAAAGAAGAGTGTTGGAAAAATGGTGTCATTATAGATCCCATGCTTCAGCTGGTGGTCGGCGCATTTCCCCAAGATCGTCTGCGCGCTTTGGTTGGTGACGATGAGATAGTGCTTGATACGACTTTGCTGGTATCCTTGCTTCAGCACCAATCACGACTAAAGCGCTTAGCTGTTTATCATCGAATGCGACCTGATGGACATGTCATTGACCTTGAGGACAAGAATTTAGTGTCATGGGCAGCGTCTCGATGCGCGGGTGTCGAATCTCTTACAGTTGTTTTGCGGACTGATTACGTCGACACTTACACGCCAGCTGGGTTCTTGGTTCGAAGCGCCCCAAACATCAAGGACCTTAAAATTAAGGAGCATGGGAACCAAAAACATCCGGCACTACCTCTTCTACGTCCCTTAGGAACGTGGGGGAAAGTGGGTTACAACGCTTTTGGAGGACTGGCTGCAGAGGATGAAGATGGACGTGCTAAACTCGAGTTGTCTCACATGAGCTTAGAACACGTGGCGTTAGATTCAAGGTCACTTGGGTCGATTCGAAAGCACGTCGAATTGCCGAGGCTCCAGAGTCTTGAAATGCTGCGATGTCCGGAAGCTCATCTTCTCCTGACGGCACTTCAACCGGGTTGTAATCTCACCAAGCTAATCTTCGAACAGGCTAACGCCCATATCCGTACATTTCTGGATAAACATCGGATCGAGGGACTTTTGAACTCGTTCAGTGGCCTTCGAGTGCTTTCGCTCAGTCTTTATGATCGGATGGTTGATGTCTCCTGCATCATCCACCACGGCTCTTCTCTCCGACAACTCGGTATACACTGTTACTCAACATGCCTATCTGCAGATGACTTGGAAGAACTTCTTCAATCGAGTCCCCATCTTGAAGGTCTCGGAGTGGACTTCTGTAAAGTACGCCTAGGCGAGGTAGCACACGCCATCTCAAACTTCAAGCTAGCACAGATGCATGGAGAAGCCCACGCAGCATCTGAACTGGAGACATACTTGGTGAGCAATTCCTTGCGTCATTCATGTATTAGTGCAGACGCTAACAGTGACGTTTCAGACTATCATCTCAGCCCACGACACACTGAAATGCATTCGCATCTATACCCCTCCGGTTATAGAACTCTACGACGAGTGGCGTCACGCGCCCGATGCCGGACACCAACTGGCCGACGAGTACGTCGAGGTAATGCGGACTATTATGCAGCACTTCGCTACAGAGATACTGTCTTATATGAGCGCCTTGGGCTCGAAAGTAAAATTCTGGGGTATGATGCCGAATGCCGTGGATGAGAATGAGAATGAGTCAAGTGTGGACGCGAACGGGCACCAATGGCCGAGGTACTACTATGTGCGCAGCCGAGTCAGTATCGATGAAATGTTAGAAGGCGAGGAGAATACAAAAGTAGTTGCCGCGCCGACGACGCTGGATGATGGTCTTATGGAGGATACCGTGTTTACGCAGGTGTTCGATACCATTTGGAGCAGTGCATGCGGGCAGGAACGCCGGTTCTTAGGTCACACGCGGAGCAAAGAACCACCCCCTACAAAATACGATGGTGAGGAGCAAACGTCAGCTGCTAGAGGTCGTACGCAGCGAACATAACATCAGTAGTAAACACCTATTGATATGATGGACGTGCTGGTGATAAGACGCAGGTACAACGCTGTTGAGTTACACTGTATTGTATCGCAGTAGAAGTGTGTTCCTAAACACTTACTTAGCTTTACTATATGCAGCTGTACATATACTTATCTAGAAACTTTATTGATTGCAACCGAAGCTATTGATCTGATGCAGTTCTAGAGAGTGACTGGCGCTCAATGTCGACGTTGGTAGTAAACACCTATAAGCAAATGACACCAATAAAACTACAACAAAAAGCGTCCTTTTCATTGGAAAAAAATATTGTCCGCACAGCGTCCATATATACAAGAAAACCAGCTATCAAAATATTTACACTTGAAGCCGTTAAGAAAAAACCCTTTTCTCCATCCTCATTCACATATATCCCTGGATTTAAATTTTCCAAAATCCTGAAGATCATATCCCTTCTAGCCATACCCTATAATACACCACTCTCCATCGCTTAGAACTTGAGGGTAACACCGGCAGTGCCAACAACAGCAGCCTTGACAGCAGCCGCCTCAAGGAGCTCAGGAACCTCGTACGGGACCTTGGACAGGGAGCCCTTGGGAGCAGTGTTCTCGCTGTCACCAAAGTCGTTGCCCTCGGCAACAGCGTTACCACCGTCGGTGCTGTAGAGCGCCTTCTTGGCCTTGACCCAGACGTTGTTCTGGACGAGGAGCTGGGCACCCTGGCGCGTGTTGATGCCATCGGAGACGTTCTCGTAGTAGTTGTTGTAGAGGTGGCCAGTTCCGAAGCGGAAGGAAGGGCCGCGAGAGTTGATGTTGAGCCAGTAGTTGTTGTTGTAGGTGACGGTCAAGTGGCCCTTGTCTTCGCTGCCGTTGCTGTCAGAGTGGCCGACTAGGGAGCACTTCCAGTGGTCGTGCATGAAGCTGTTGGAGATGGTGACATAGTCAGCGGCGTGTGTGACGTCGAGGAGACCGTCGTAGTAGTCCTTGTCGTGGTCGAGGTCGGAGGAGAGGTCGACGTGGTCAACCCAGACGTTCTGGGCTTCCTGGATGGCAATGGCATCGCCGCCGACGACCTTCTCCACGGCGAAGTTGCGGAGGATGACGTTCTTGACTGCCTTGACTGTGAGGGTGAAGTCGGTCAGGACGACGGAAGAGTCCTTTCCGATGACGGACTTGTTGCTGCCAATCTTGACGTTCTCTCCGCTTCCCTTGATGGGAGCGGTGATGAGAACGATAGCGGCATCCTCACCCTTGACAGCAGACTCCAACTCGCTGAGGGAGCTGACCTCGATGGTCTTGCCTCCCTTTCCTCCAGAGGTACCTCCGTTCTGGGTAGCGAAACCGGTAGTGGCGACATCCTCCAGGGATGCGGCGCGCTTGGTGAGACCGTCACGCTTGGGTGCGATCTGAGATGGCATAGGTGCTGCCAGAGCAGAGACGGCCATGAGGCCGAGAGACATGATTGAGAACTTCATTGTCGAAAAAAAGCTTGTTGGTGGAGTTGGAAAATGAATGTGAAGGGAAAAAGTGAAGGACTGGAGTTGTTGGTGTAGAAAAGAATGGAAGAGCTTTGCTGCCAAAAGCTTCAAGGGAAGGTTACACAAGACCTTATATACAACTCAGCGTCCGTCCCCCCGCCGCCGTGGTCAAGCCTTTGCCGGCGTCCGAAGGCATACGCGCTGGGGGCACATTGTTTCAAGCTTTTCGCACCAATCCTCTCCGCTGGGCGACCCACCACAGCGGAAGACATGGGCTGTCACTCACGATCTTGGGTGAGCACTCTTCCCTAGCCAGGTACCGTCTGGCGGGCGAACGTCGTGAACATGTCAAGAGTTCTTGGCAATCATGCGGAAGGATTCTGTTTGAAACGACTAACCAGAACGGGTTTGAAACGGCGGCGGATAACTCCACTTCTCGAGCTGTAAAATTGCAAAGGATGTCGTTCGAAACAAGTCCGTACTCGGGCATCATAACTGTGCACCCGCAGGAATGTCTTGGCTATAGGATCTGTGGAGACATGGCGGGCGCTTGCTGCTATCGTGACCGATCGACTGGTGGAGGGGGCGGCTTGAGTCGTGAATGATCAGTAAACAACATGTATGAAATGTACGGAGATGTTCCTAATGCATATATTCAATTTTGATAATATGGATCTGGTGTACCACACCATTCGATATGGCGTGGGTTGCCGGATGCGGATGCAGGGCTGACCGATGTGAAAGGCAGGCGTCTGACAACATGCGATCCTTTGAATCGTAGGAACACTGGGTCGTTTTATCGAGACGTGGGTAGTTGTGTGCACAACTTTTCCTTTCTTTTCCTCCTTGAGATTATAGAAAATCTCTGTCCTTACAGAAGCGTCTGGACTTGTTGATCGTTATCCCGATCGGCCCTTTGCTTGTTCCAGCTCCTGAACACGACGTTGCAGACAATGATGCTGCTGCCCGATGCCGTGGTAATGAATAGAGACAACTTGAAAATTCCCTGCAGCATGAAAGGAAAGGATCGAGGAAGGGACGAAACGGATGCGAAGCTTTTCTTGGATTTCTCGGCGATGTTTTGACTGCGCCGAACAACCGTTCTCTGGAGCGCGGCACAGCCACATATCGATTGAATGGGATAAAGGAGAAGTAGGAAAGAGGTATGATTAAAATCATACCAGATTGCGTGATCTCTCTCTCATATAGATGAAGCCCAGGAGAGCCAAGTGTCAGCATATACAGCTTGTTGTCAGGTTGTACACATGCCAAAATCATAGTGTAAGACAAGCGCAAAGAACCCATAGCTCGACCGGCCAGATCGGTCCCAAGTGTATCACATTGAAGAAGACGGTGTTAAGTGATATTGAAAGCCTGGCTGCAGACGTCTAAAGAAGGTTTCATGGTTGGAAGAACCTAATAAGGTTTCACGTGCCAGAGTGACATCATCGCCCAAAGCAGTAACCACCTCCAACAGCTGAACCAAAGAGCACGCCAGAGAGAGGATAGCAGAACATAGCACAAGGCAGCAACAAACAACTCCCACAACGTGTTCACAAGTCTAAACTAGCTACTCAACAAACTCCCCCACAAGTCATCGTCTCGTCGCCACGAATTACTACACCGTCATACTCACTCATTCTAACACACAGCGTACGTTTCTACTTGAGAGAGCAAAAGCCGACACCAACTCTCTCTCTACCAGCAAATCTACAAAAGCGAGCCCAAACATGCCCCCAATCCCCATCCACAAAAACGCCCCAATCGCACCTACCTCCTCAACGACCGCCGCCAAAGCAGACGGTATAACCCCTTCGACAGCCTCAAACGACAACACCTCTCACAACCCGCCACCCACACGCACAACACCCGCCTACGCCCCAGCAACAACAACACAACATGTCTCCTCTCAGCCACCTGCTCCTCAGCCCGGCGCCCGCCCCGCCGCACCAACAGGCACAGGAATGAGCGAGAACTACCGCAACGGCAGCACACCAGCAGCGCCCCAACCAGGTGCGACTGCCATGCCGACAGCAACAGTCATCACAACGGAGACGCGACAAGCTCCACCACCACTACCACAATTCAGTCATCCCCCTCCTTCAGATTCCATGCTAGCCGGCCGCTCAACTACAACCTCCACCACTCCTTCGGCGTCGGCGGCGGCCAGTAAACCGGGCCCAACGGTTCTCAACTACGGTCCGGCGGCGAGCCCGTTCCAGACAGCTGATACAGCGCAAGCACAACCTACGAGGACGAGCTTGGAACACCCACCGGGTTATGTTCAAGCGCCGGATAATGCGCCGTACACGGCTGGAGGAGGCATTGGTGGCCCGAGTGGAGCCGGAGGGGATGGTGAGGGTGAGGGTGTTGGGGCGCAGGCGTGGAGTATGTTGAATAAAGCGGGTGAGGCGCTGAAGAAGGGCGAGGAGAGTGTGTGGAGGGCGGTCAAGGGGAAGAATGGCGGGGGATTCTGAGCGTGCTTGGGTAGATGGGGGGCGGCACAAGCAGGGGCAGCAGATGGAGCAGTGCGGCACTGCTCCTATATCACAACTCGTATTGAACAACGTCACTCGATAGTGGAGATAGGTTTTGCGTACAAAGAAACCCATGACTTTCTATAGACCACTATTTTCCCCATTGCACCAAGCGATAAAAAGAGGAAGTACAGGCAAGAGACAAAAGCATTGCAAGCCGGATATGACGTGTGAATGTATAAAGTACAAGAGTGTTTTACCACCCCGGGATCGTGCTTTTCGTTACCAAGAACAACCTTCCGCCCGCAGGGCTTCTTGTCGTTCTCATACACGTACACCCCATCCCCATCTCTCACGTCGCGATTAGCTGCTTCCACCACATAAACGCAGGTTGGGGGTATCGAAGAGGGAAGAAAGGCGCTTAACCAGATCCACCCTTGAACTTCTTGCCGAAGAGAATGAGCTGGGCCTGGTCGTAGATGGACAGGACACCGGCACCGGCAACACCACGGAGAATGTTGGCACCAGCACCCTTGAAGAGAGACTTGACACCCTCAGCGGCGACGATCTGGCGGGCGGCGTCCATGGTACCCTTGTACTTGACGGCCTCACCGGAGGTCATCATCATGCGGCGACGGATGGTGTCAAGGGGGTAAGAGGCGATACCGGCACCAGTGGTGACGGCCCAACCAAGAGCGAAAGAGGCCAAGAAGTTACCCTCGAGGGAACCGGTGAGGAGGACAGGCTTGATCGAGTCGTACATACCGAAGTACAGACCACGGTAGACAACGATACCAGCAACGGAGGGCATGAAACCACGGTAGAGACCACCGATACCGTCGGAAGCGAGGGTCTTCTTGTAGACGTCTACGAGACCGTTGAACTGGCGCTCACCACCCTTCTTGGCGGACTTGGCGTCGTTGGCAAGACGGGTACGGGCGTAGTCGAGGGAGTAGACGAAGAGGAGGGAAGTAGCACCGGCAGCCTGTTATTGTTAGATTGTGTGCTGATAAGCATCGAGCGAGTATACTTACACCACCGGAGGCCAAGTTACCGGCCATCCACTTGGCGTAACCGTCACGCTCCTTCTTGTAGGCGAACATGGACTTGTAGGTGTCGCGGAAAGCGAAGTTGAGCGCCTGGGTGGGGAAGTAACGGATGACGTTGGCGGTGTTACCACGCCAGAGGGAGAGGACACCCTCGTTCTTAGCGGTACGGCTGAAGCACTCGCCAATGCCGTCGTACTTGCGGTCGAGACGACCGGACTTAAGCATCTCATCCTGCGGGGTGGATTAGAGATTGTCGATGTGCGGGGTCCTGTTGGAAGAACTTACCTGGTTCTGGATGAGGAGCTTAACACGCTCGATGGGAGCGGCGGCGGTCTTCGAGACGGCGGCGGAAACACCACCCACTGATAAGCTGTTAGTATCTGTTACGGACGCAGAAAATTGCCGATGGTGCTCGCATCATGTCCACATGCCAATGGCACTCGTGCTGATGGAGTTGTCGATGGTGATGGAACGTACTCAGGAAGTCGACCACGAAGCCCTGATTTGATCATTAGCCCAAGTTCCAAGTAATTGACGCACTCCAACCACACAGCCCAGCCAACGCGCGCAGAGCCAGCAAAGTTGAGTCCATCTCATGACATTGCCAATTCGCTGGAGAAACCTCCATTGATGCAATTGAGATAGATCTGCAACTATTGCTGGCTCCACGGTTGTCGAACTGAACAGCTGGCCGAGTCCGAGGGCGGGTTACGTACGGGCATCCCCATGATGCTCTTGTCTTGCTGCTTTCCCGACATCTTGAAGACGTGTAGAGGGGAGATTGGTTGAAAAAGGTGAGGTTGCAGATGCTGGTGCTGCGTTGAGGGAGGAAAGGTGTATTTGTAGCGAAGCTGCGACAAATTCTGCCAGCTGCGCTAAGTCGCACTAGACCCATCACGTGCTAGTTCCCTTGCCCGCTATCCCGAGCGCTCCCTCATCAACACCTCGGAAACGCGGAGTGTGGGAGAAAGTGAATACGATAAGGTCGTTATGATGAGTCTTGTGATTCACTTGATTCTGAATATGTTCTGATCGCTGCCGGTAGAACTACCTGACAATAACAACAATGTATCTACCTCTCTCATGTTTCCCAACGGACACCCACAAGCGTTGCCGTAGCAGCCACAAAATGAATAGTCTTTGACGGAACCGCGTCTACTGGCAGCCCGCAGCCGTCAATTCAACATGGAATATCCACTGTGGGGATGTACAAGTGTTCACATGCCTCTTCCAGCCCAAGTCTCCCACGCCTCTCCTTTCTGCGAGCCACCATTGTCAGGGTCCGCCATTTTTAGGTCGGGTAATCTCGGGGACGGAACCTGGCTCGGGCCAACAACTAGCGGCGAGGGCTTCAACGAGCGTGGGGCCCGGACTCCAGAGCGGCGAATTTTCCATCGCCCTGCCCGCTATTGGAAGACGTGCCGTAGTTCGCGAAGCCTCGATGGCTTCTAGGGCTGTCGAGAGCTGGATGCGTGACGTTGGTGTTGCAGTCTTGTTCGGACCGCTTCGTGAAGATGTGTAACATCGCACGTCGTGTGTCGGTTGTCGCTGTTTGACACACCTCAGTACCCCTCCGATAACAACCGTCAGGCTGACCGCCACTACAAGTTACCCGATCATGTCGGGTTGGCCCTATGTTGTTTCGCCAGCGAACGGCTACCAAGACAAGACTTCAATTCCAGTTGTCGACGCGGCGATATCTCATCTTCTCACCGCAGTCACATTGCGTCATGTCTGGTGGTCGTGGTCCAGCGAAGCCGATGAGCTCAATATGAGGCTAAGTGAATCTTATGGTTTTTCTGGTCGACAATTTCACCCACCGGGTATCAACGTACACTGAAAAAGAAAGTTACATACCGATCTTGTGGGGTGGTGGGTTGCTAAAATTCATTCACCAACATCATTCCTACTTAACATCGTTGGCATCTCATTTCCAGTTGTATCATATCCACATGCAACTTTATCTTCTTCACCTTGTCTCTCCTGCACGCGCCCATCATACTTTTCCGTAGATCCCTAGTACGCAACTATCAGACTCTTACTGGTAAGCAGTATTGCGTTTCTCAGAATAAATGGTAGTTTGGATGAGGATAGGTAAGTTAACTTCAAAGGTTACTGCAAATGCTGAATGACGCTACGCAAAGTCTCGAAACTCCCGCACGAAGGAGCATCCTCACGATGTTCTGTCGAGCTGCCTTCCTCTCTCGACCCCAAGTCGAAATACAGCCTGTCAAGCACTATATGGTGGTGCTTTTTCGGAGTCGTGAAGTGTACAACCTTGACGTTGCGCGTCCAGCAAGCGAATCGTGTGCGCAAACTGATAGGTGGTTGCTGCTCCCACTCAAGATACCCATAGAAGTAGTTTAAATGATAAAGATATCTATAATCAGTGTAACTTATTCTTGTAGACGTTATCCGGCACAAAAACATCTTATCCTTGCACACCTGCCACCTTTCGAAATGTCCTAAAACAGAAGAGAGCGAAAACATATAAAATACTCATATATCGACTGTATGCTTAAGTAAGTAGCACGTGTGAATGGACAAACGGTAGATAAGAGTGCCTTCTAATACCGCCTACACCTGCCCCCCGCTTTGATCCTTCTACATTTACAGGTGACAGACAGAACGAATTTATGACATCTGGCCCCGAAATTGTTATTCGTAGCAACTACATCGGTTTGATGAACATGAGAGCCGATGTACTCCTGTTGCTGAACTATCAGAATACCTTCCCGTGTCGATGTGTTATGAGAAGAACCATGGTTGAGAGCATACAGTATATGACCGCGCTTGCGCAGAAGAGATATGCAGGTATCTCTTGGTTCAGTTCATCTCTGTTCATAAAATATAAAATCAACCCCGGGGAATGAGTCATGATGATACCAAGAAGAGTATAACAAACGATGACTGTCTTACACCCTTGGATAACTCTTTTGCGCTTTATTCCCATAAGAGACCCTAATACATTCCTATGTGCGCAGCTGATATCCTCGAGCAAGATGAAGAGCATGATCAGCATCCAGACAGTCAGTGATAGGTAGATAGGAATGTATCTAAGAATAATCGGGCTATTAGGAATAAAGACCACGGCCAAAAATTCAGGGCCACCCAAAGCACCAAGCATCAAAGTCGTTGTCGCGATGCCAATGGAAATAATAACAATGAAGTAGATCATTGAATGGGTCCAGCTGGAGTCCTGGTAGAAATCACGATCCGGATGATCGCGTTCTTGAAGCGATGGGATTAACAAGGCATCGCTATGATCGAACTCCGAATAGCTAGTATGAAACTGCACGAGCGCTATCGAAAGCGCGTTGCTGGGTTGCTGGACTAGGATTATCAACGACATGTTTTTCCTCAGCGAAAGGATAGGATGTACCTTTCAAGAAAGACTCAAAGACGGTAAGCAAAGGAGCTGCGAGGAGGACGAGAGGCACGACCTGACCGAAAGACCAATCGCTGGGACCGCTGTCAAGAATCGAAGCAAACTTCTTATGTTCCAGCTGAAGTACATGCAGTAACCTGATGAGGCCCCAACAAAAGCATCCTACCACCCAAAGAATCTGCTAGCAAGATTAGTATCAGTCATACTAGATTAGAGGCTCCATACCTCAATGAACATGGAACTCCATAAATCTAGCGAGATTCGAGCGGTGAGAAACAGTGCCAGAAGTGGCCGGTAAAGGAACAACCGTTTGAATGTCAAGCCCGAAGTTTGCATACCCATCTTTGCATAACTTCGACGAAGAAAATTTCGAGACTTTTCACTGCAGGTCTCCCTTGCTCGCCCAACAACGAATACAGATAGGGATTTGTGCAGCCGTATGACTCGGTAGAGAAAACCCCAAGTCAGAGAAACGACCGAGATTACCGTTGTCGAGCCCGCCATTGCGACGGTGCCTCCGTAGTCTTGCAGTGGATTCCAATAGAACTTGGGCCGCAAGTAGCAAATCGCATAATCTGAAGGGTACGGGCGGCTGTCTGGAGGATGACCATCCCAAACGTCTCTCCAGTCGTAGTTACCCGTTGGTATAGTAGCGACGAGCAGCATTAGCAACATAAGACCCATTGCAGCCAATCTACACTCGCGTTCTGCGGGCCTGTTATATAGATGATTGCGGAGGAAAGTTAGGCAAGAGAGATGAGTTACGCTCGAGAACCAAGCGAGCAAGACGATGATCTGCCAATGGAAAGCTCGAATACCGCAGCGTAGCTGGGCATAACCACTGATAAGGATGGATGTACCAGTAATAAGCTGGAGGTCGCTCATCGATTGAACACACTATGCTCGTTAGCAGAAATATGAAGTAGAGGAATATACTCAACTAACCTTGACGAAAAGTGCTTCTAGGCGAGGGTATGCCCTCGCTTTTGGTAGATTTAGGACGGGTCTTAGCCATGTCCTGGCTTTGGATGGAAGACCAAGATAGGTAACGTCTATTGGATTCGGTCGTGGGTTGCGGGACGCGGTCGCGCCGGAATCGTTGTCTTTACGAAATGGGTCCTTTGTCGGATCGTGCGCAAGATGATAATGGAACACCAAGATCAAGACGACAATGCCTGCAGTAGCTATATATCCAACGAGAACCTACAGGCCATTAGCACGATTGAAGTGGACTCGGTCTCTTACAGAGGCTTACACCAACTCCAGTGATGTCAGGATAAGGACACACGGGATTGTGAATGTACCGCAGCGAACAGTCGTAGTGACAACTATTGTCGCACGCCATGTTTGCCGAAGATCTGTGCCACGATAAGGCTGGGTCATATATATATGCTCGAACGGCCTGGACAAGAGCGGGGACTCGCGAGGCTGAGTAGATACCGCTGTCACCTAGCCAAATTTGTTTTGGCCAAGTCCGCAGCATGCAACGCCAGGGCAAGCCCCTTAGCCTCAACTTATTGAGACTTCAGTCAAACCCAATGACTGTGGCGGTACAGAGTTCATACCCCAGTAGCCTTTGAGCGTCAGTCCAGTAGCGGTGATCTATGATCAGCAGAATGTAAACCGGTGAGCTTGTCAAAAGGCGATTCGCACAGGCTGAAACACAGTGACCCAAACGAGTTCCAGCGAGGCAAAATCAAAACGATTCAATCGAACGGGTCCCCCAAGCACAAACCAATGACCGTGTCCGTAGAAGCCAGGCGTCTAGCAGATCTAAGGGTACATCTGCACCTCTGTGGCACAGTCTGGGAATACTTCGAAGATCCGTTCATGGATACTGGCCCCCAATTTTCGCCCCCATACGCCGAAGAACAATGACTAGGGTCGTGCTCGACCCTGATTGGACCTCTAGAGACTCACCACTCAGAACATAGAGTCAGCCGGGGTTGGAGAAAACACAGTAGTAGTTACGAGCACTCACCATAAAAGTCACTGGTTCAGTTCACGTGTCTTCGTGCCCCAAGCGTCGCGCCTTCCTGCGCTCCCGTCGCGACTGCCCCACATACTGTACGTCATTCACCACGAACCAGCATCAACACACAGCCATGTACTCACAATGGCTTCACCATCGCCAGCCTTACCCACAAGCCGTACTTTCATAACCCAACTCTTCTACTCGCTATCAACACTACCAAGTGACCAAGCCGCCGCTGCTACCAACGATAATGCCGAAACCAACACCAACCCGCTGAACAACTTATCCGACGCGACGAGGAAACAATTGCTGAGCTTCCAAGTAGTTTTCCCGACGGAATTCGTACCAGCGTTGGATTTGTTAGATCGGCGTCTTGTAACGCGTTTCCATATCCG